CGCTCAGCTGGGGGAGGCCCCTGCCCCACCTGCCGCTCCTGCCACCGCCACTGCCCCCTCAGGCACACCTGCGCGCGCCCCGGGTGCCGAGCCGCCTGCCTATGAGTGCAGCCACTGCCGCAAGACGTTCAGCTCGCGGAAAAACTACACCAAGCACATGTTCATCCACTCGGGTAAGCCGGGGCGTTAAGAGTGGGAAGAGGAGAGGGAACAATCCCTCACTGCAGATTCAATCCCCAGGGGCCCTAGAAATTGAGCCCCCCAAGTGCAAGGCGTGTGGAGGAGGGAAAGCTCTCCCTGCCCCCCTCCCGTGGAGCAGTAGGCACTCCTGCTGGTCTGCCCACCTTGTTTTAATGAGGGAGGGGGGATCCTGAGGCCGGATAGGGAGTAGGAACCTTCCCCGGCCTTTGGAAAGCTGGCGGTGGATCATTTAGTAGCCATGATGCAGCCTGGGATGCGCGGAAGGTATGGAACCCTGGCAGGGGAGTAGTGGCCGGGTCGGGGAGTGGTGCTTCAGTCTCCTGCATCTCTCCGGATGTCAGTGTGGCCAGTGACAGGCTGGCAGAGAAGGAGAGTGGGTTTGCTGGCCTGGGAAGCTTGGGAAGTTGGCAGAGAGGTGGCCTAATGAGAGCCTCAGGAGTCTTGATTGAGAACCAGGCAAGAGGAGGAAGACATGGCTGCAGTATGGGGACCCCACACCCACGGAGGGACGGAAAGGGCCTCCAAGGGGGACAGGGAAGTTAGAGTCGGGGTGGTGCTGGGAACTGTGCTAGAGGTGAGGAGAGAGGGCCTGAGGTGGTGGTGGAAGGGTACAGGGTTCTCCCTGAGAGCTGAGGTGGAGGATGGGAATGGAAATCGGAGGTCTGCTAGGCATTGTCAGGAAAAGCAAAAATTTGGCTGGAAGGCCAGAGTGGGAGTGAAGTGGGGGATACTTCAGGGGTAGGAACTTGGGATTTGACTGTGAGGGGCAGGGAAACTACCAGTGTTCCAAGCTGGGGAGTGACTGAGATGTCATAATTTAAAATTTCCACCTGGCTAGGGCTGGCCCGTGGCTCACTTGGGAGAGTGTGGTGCTGATAACACCAGGGCCATGGGTTCAGATCCNGCGGCAGCCCGCACGTCTGCAGCTACCTGCGCCCCCCGCGCCCGCCAAGGCGGAGGGGCCTGACACCGATCCCGCACTGCCTGCGGCCACCGACGACAGGGGTGAGGACGACGATGACGATGAGGACAGCGATGATGAGACCGACGGCGAGGACGGCGAAGGTGGCGGCCCGGGTGAGGGCCAGGCACCCCTCTCCTTCCCCGACTGCACCGCCGGCTTTATGACTGCCGCCCCTGACAGCGTGCGCGAGGACCCCCCTGCACCCACCAGCCTAGCTGACTACAGCGGTGCCGGGAGGGACTTCCTTCAGGGGGCTGCAGCGGCAGAGGACGTGTTCCCAGACAGCTACGTGTCCGCCTGGCACGACGAGGACGGCGCCGCCGCAGAAGGCTGTGCCGCTGAGACCCCTGTCCCGCCCGACTGCGTCCTAGCGGGACCCCGCCCGCCAGGCGTGAAGACCCCAGGGCCGCCTGTCACGCTCTTCCCTTTTCACCTGGGCGCTCCCGGGCCGCCCGCACCTCCCCCTCCCGCGCCGTCGCGGTGCTGATAACACCAAGGCCGCGGGTTCGGATCCCATATAGGGATGGCTGGTTTGCTCACTGGCTGAGCCTGGTGCTGACAACACCAAGTCAAGGGTTAAGATCCCCTTACCGGTCATCTTTAAAAAGATAATAAATAATAAATAAATAAATTAAATTAAATTAAATTTTGGGCCGGCCCGTGGCTCACTCAGGAGAGTGCGGTGCTGATAACACCAAGGCCGCGGGTTCGGATCCCATATAGGGATGGCTGGTTTGCTCACTGGCTGAGCCTGGTGCTGACAACACCAAGTCAAGGGTTAAGATCCCCTTACCGGTCATCTTTAAAAAGATAATAAATAATAAATAAATAAATTAAATTAAATTAAATTTTGGGCCGGCCCGTGGCTCACTCAGGAGAGTGCGGTGCTGATAACACCAAGGCCGCGGGTTCGGATCCCATATAGGGATGGCTGGTTTGCTCACTGGCTGAGCCTGGTGCTGACAACACCAAGTCAAGGGTTAAGATCCCCTTACCGGTCATCTTTAAAAAGATAATAAATAATAAATAAATAAATTAAATTAAATTAAATTTTGGGCCGGCCCGTGGCTCACTCAGGAGAGTGCGGTGCTGATAACACCAAGGCCGCGGGTTCGGATCCCATATAGGGATGGCTGGTTTGCTCACTGGCTGAGCCTGGTGCTGACAACACCAAGTCAAGGGTTAAGATCCCCTTACCGGTCATCTTTAAAAAGATAATAAATAATAAATAAATAAATTAAATTAAATTAAATTTTGGGCCGGCCCGTGGCTCACTCAGGAGAGTGCGGTGCTGATAACACCAAGGCCGCGGGTTCGGATCCCATATAGGGATGGCTGGTTTGCTCACTGGCTGAGCCTGGTGCTGACAACACCAAGTCAAGGGTTAAGATCCCCTTACCGGTCATCTTTAAAAAGATAATAAATAATAAATAAATAAATTAAATTAAATTAAATTTTGGGCCGGCCCGTGGCTCACTCAGGAGAGTGCGGTGCTGATAACACCAAGGCCGCGGGTTCGGATCCCATATAGGGATGGCTGGTTTGCTCACTGGCTGAGCCTGGTGCTGACAACACCAAGTCAAGGGTTAAGATCCCCTTACCGGTCATCTTTAAAAAGATAATAAATAATAAATAAATAAATTAAATTAAATTAAATTTTGGGCCGGCCCGTGGCTCACTCAGGAGAGTGCGGTGCTGATAACACCAAGGCCGCGGGTTCGGATCCCATATAGGGATGGCTGGTTTGCTCACTGGCTGAGCCTGGTGCTGACAACACCAAATTAAGGGTTAAGATCCCCTTACCGGTCATCTTTAAAAAGATAATAAATAATAAATAAATAAATTAAATTAAATTAAATTTTGGGCCGGCCCGTGGCTCACTCAGGAGAGTGCGGTGCTGATAACACCAAGGCCGCGGGTTCGGATCCCATATAGGGATGGCTGGTTTGCTCACTGGCTGAGCCTGGTGCTGACAACACCAAGTCAAGGGTTAAGATCCCCTTACCGGTCATCTTTAAAAATAAATAAATAAATAAATAAATAATAAAATAAAATAAAATTTCATCTGGCTGCCTTGGGGAAAATGGGGAGATGCTGGGGCCTGGGAATAAGGTGAGCTGAGTGATTGGCCTGTGGAGGCTGCCGGGGCGCCAACATAGTACCAGCTTTGCCATAAGTGTGTGACTTGAACCAGGTGCCTGGGCCTGCTCCCTCTCCCCTCCCCAGCAAGGCACTACTGCCCTGCATTTCTCTGCTGCTGAGATAGGCTTCCCCCCCGCCCCTTTTCCTTTAACATCTGATGACTAGAGGCTGACACAGCCTGCCTCCCCTCCTCCAATCCAGGTAGCCCGCCCTGTCACCCCGAAAATGTTATATTTGCCATCAGGAAGGGGTTCTGGACAACTGGGGCTTCCAGCAGGAAGGCAGCAGATGTGCTTGGGTCTCTCCCTGTGTAAGGGTTCTGGATCTTGTCAGAATGTCCCCAGAATGGTGGCTGGTGATCAGAGTTAATAAGGCTCTATGGGCATGGGAAGAGGGGAGGTAGGCCTGTGTCCCCCTGTGCCAGGGTCATTAGGGGTTGGCGGCATGGTCTGTCGAGGTGGGGGGAATCTGAGTGGGCAATCTAGATGGGCAGCGGATATTGCATATGGACAGGGTTCCCTGCTGGGAGAGGACCAGTTAGGTTGTGTGTGTGGGGGGTGTCCTGCCAGGCAGTGACATCATAGGATGACAGGTCTGGGAGAGGGGCCGATCACTGCAGGGCAGGGGTGGCAGAGACATACCGGGGCGTGTGAGGGTCCCAGCCAGACAGGAAGGTCCCAATGTGAGGGGTGGTTAGGGAGTGAGGGAGTGTCCTTGCTGGGCAGGAGGATCCCAGAGTGAGGGGAGGGTTCCTGACAGGCACAGGATCCCAGCTGGTTCGGGGAGGGTAGGGGCCCTGCCAGGTACAGTCGCTCAGGAGATAGGTGGTCTGACGCGCGTGCACGACCTGCCCTGTCATCCGCAGGGGAGAAGCCACACCAGTGCGCCGTGTGCTGGCGATCCTTCTCGCTGCGCGACTACCTGCTCAAGCATATGGTCACGCACACGGGCGTGCGCGCCTTCCAGTGCGCGGTCTGCGCCAAGCGCTTCACGCAGAAGAGTTCACTCAACGTGCACATGCGCACACACCGGCCTGAGCGCGCGCCCTGCCCCGCCTGCGGCAAGGTCTTCTCGCACCGCGCGCTGCTGGAGCGTCACCTGGCCGCGCACCCTACACCCTAACGGGGGCCTGGGGCCTGGCCACACCCGCAATGGGATCGAGGGGGTTCCCGCGCAGTTGGCAACACCCACTGCGGAGCTGGACACGTTCCTGCTGAGTCGGGTCACAGCAGCTGCAGCACCTTAACTAGGTTTCCTCCACCAGTCCACGCTTTCTCCTGAGTGCAGGCCCTCCCTCTACCCATTTCTCCAGACCAGACCCTGGCCCGGTCCGCCTTACTTCACTCCTTCACGTACTTGGACCCTCCAGGGTCTGGGGCTAGTCAGGGGCACGATCACCTCTGAGAACTGAACCATTAACTCTTCTGCTCAGACCCTTGGATCTGGGCCCAGGATTTCGTGTCTCCCCCCGCTTCCTCCCGGAGTAGGGCCTGGAGTCGCTGCCCTGCTCCGGTGTCCTGGGCAAGGCTACTGGCTCCCCATCCCGAGCTATCCCTCTCTCATCGGGTGCCTAAGGAGGCTCAGGTGGACCCATCATGGAATGGGGCCTGGCCATGGGACTCCTGCTCTGTAATAAAGGATGGTGGACCACAGGGCCTTAATATCGTGAAGCCATGAGCACCTGGACCAATGTGTGCCTCACTCATAGATGGGCTGTGGGCATCAGGGCTCAGCGTCTCCGTCCCTGGGTGGCACCCAGGTTCTCCTAGGCAGTGACGGAACAGTCTGCTTTGCCATCCCAGGCCTCGGTTCTGGGAGGCCTGGGTGGGCTGCATATATGACTGGCACTTAGTTCTCCTGGAGCCCTTGGTCCTGTGGGGAGGGAGACTGGCCAGCCCCTTCTGAGGTGGGTCTCCCTTCTGAGAGGGAGGACACATATGGGAAGCCCCCAGTCACACCCATGGGTGCTGCTGTCCACTATGTAGATTTCGAGACCCCTCCCCTAGATCTTTCAGCCAGACTCTGATGGCCTTTTGGACTTAAGACTTCCCCTCCCCCATTCTGATGGCATGATGGTTGAGCTCCTTACTTTGGGGGAGCCCAGGGGAATCTTTGGAGCCAGGCTACCGTGAGGGTCTACGAGCCCCAGGATACCTGCCCTGGCTACTGGGGGCCAAGTTCTGCAGTGCCAGGTCAGGGTTGGGGGGCCCCTTGGGCTGCCAACTTGTCAGCTGAGGACCATAACCCACAGTGGCAAGCCTGTGTCACAGGATCTGGCATCTAACTGGCTGCCAGCTCAGAGAGGGGCCACACTTCTCCCCTTCAGTGTCTAGCACATTGGCAGCTCCTGGCCTGGGTACCCTGCCCTAAGGATTTGGAGCTGATGGAGGGGAGTACAGTCTGGAGGGCCATGCCCCAGCCCAACCTGCTGGGCTCCTAGGCCAGCAGTGGGTCCTCTGACATCTTTCTCTTTGACTGCCTCCTAGAGGTGAGAAGCCAAGACTTTCCTGGTCCAACCACACACATCGTGGGCAGAGTTCAGCCTCCTGAGCCCAAAGACGTCCCCATTGATGTCAGGGGTGGGGCAGAAAGTCACAGAGCAGGCACATGGGTGGGAAGCAGAGTTGGGTTTGAATTAGTCAATGCAGGTGCTCTTTCAGGTATTTACTAAGCACTTGTGTACCTGGCAGAAGGCTAGGCTCCCGCAGATCACTGGGGTCAAGGGGCTTCTACCGGTTGAGCCACCTCTCCCTGAGGGTTAAGTTGGGTGCCACTGGAGGACCTCCCAGTGAGGTGGGCAGAGTGGCAGACCATGCTTGGGTCAGGTCCACCTTGCTATCTTGCTTTTCCATTTGGCCTGACTGGAACGTTTGCCAAGAGCCTGTTTCCCAAGTGCCTGGCACATGGGGGACCTGGGAGGGGAGGGAAGGGAGGCAGGTGCCAGCCCTGGAGGAATGACTGGGCAAGCAGGACAGCAGAAAGGAGGCTGGTGCTGTGTCTAAGGGGGCAGAGACCTGGGGACCCAGAGGCCAGCGACAGTGGAGAGGGGAACAAATCTAGTGAAAGGGATGCCGGGGGCTGATGAGGGTGGTGAACAGGCAGAGAGGCAAAACAAATGTACAGACGAAAAGGCTGGGGGCGGAGTCGGGGCCAGGAGGAGCCACTGTCAGAAGCGCCAGGGCTACCACCTCGGGGCGGGGGAGGGCGGACGGGCAAGAGGTCAGGGCTAGGGAACCCAGGGGCAGAGGTGAGTCTGTGTATTCACAGCGACTTCTCTGAGGAGAGAGCTGGTGCGATGGGTGTCGCACTGCGGCTGGCCGTTCTGCTGCTCCTGCTGCTCCTGCTGTGGGGCCTGGGGCAGCCCGCATGGCCGGCAGCCACAGCTGTGGCCCTGCGGTGGATCCTGGGGGACCCCGCATGCTGCGTGCTGCTCGGCCTGGCCGTGCTGGCGCAGCCCTGGCTCAGGCTCTGGATGCCCCACTGGCTGAGCCTGGCGGCTGCGGCCCTCACACTGATTCTGCTGCCAGCCCGATTGCCTCCGGGGCTACGCTGGCTGCCTGCCGACGTGGCCTACGTGGCCAGAATCTTCTTCCAGGGCTTGAGCATCAGGATGCGCGTGAGCCGACAGCCGCCCGACACCTTTGTGGATGCCTTTGAGCGGCGAGTGCGAGCACAGCCTGGCCGCAAGTTCTTGGTGTGGACAGGGCCCGGGGCCTGCACGGTCACCCTCGGCGAGCTGGATGCTCGGGCCTGCCGGGCAGTGTGGGCACTGAAGGCCACGCTGGGCAGCCTTGAGGATCTGTGTGCCGGGGAGCCCGTCGCCCTCTTGGTGCTGGCCTCCCAGGTCGTCCCAGCTCTGGGTTTCTTGCTGGGGCTAGCCAAGCTAGGCTGCCCAGTGGTCTGGATCAATCCGCATAGCCGAGGGATGCCCCTGGCTCACTCCGTGCTGAGCTCTGGGGCCCGGGTGCTGGTGGTGGACCCAGGTGAAGGCCCCAAGGAGGATGGAAGGGGGTAGGGGCAAGGGATGGGCTAGAGGACAGAGGTCTTGGCAGGGGCTAGGCGAAGAGCCCACCAACCTACCGTCAGAAAGTTCAGGGTCAGAACTCAACATAACTGAAAAGTAATTCTGAGGTCACCAGAATTTTAATTTTTTTTCCGCAATGGTTATTTCAATCTTTTTGCCAAAACAAAAAGGAAAACCAAGTTATTATGGGATTCTTTATCGAAGAACGTGGAAACTTTTCTCTGCTATCTGCTCCTCTGTCCCCGTCTCTGGGTCTCAGGTCCCCTTCACAACCTCAGCCCTACCTCAGTTTCTCCTCTGACCTATCCTTGCAGACCTCCGGGAGAGCCTGGAGGAGATCCTTCCCAAACTGCAGGCTGAGAACATCCGTTGCTTCTACCTCAGCCACACCACCCCAACGGAGGGGGTAGGGGCTCTGGGAGCTGCCCTGGATACTGCATCCTCTGACCCAGTACCTGCTGACCTACGTGCTGAGATCAAACGACAAAGCCCTGCTCTATTCATTTACACCTCCGGGACCACCGGTGAGAGTGCCCAGCAGCCCTAGCCCTGGCCTCTGAACTCTTACCCTGACCTGATCCCAAACTTGATCTTTGCTTCAAATTTGACCTCTGAAACCCATTCTGCCTCTGATCTTAACACCTGGCCTGAACTTGACTCCCATGTGACTGAGTGGTCAGTGCCAGAATCCCGCCTCTGCCCAGTAAATAGCCACTGAAACTCTTAGTGACCTTTGGGGTTTTATTGTTTTGTTTTGTTTTCTTGCAGCTGGTTGGTACAGGGATTGAACCCTGGACCTTGATGTTATCAGCACCGTGCTCTAACCAACTGAGCTAACCAGCCAGCCCTGACCTTTGGTCTTGACCTATTACTCCCAGTCAGAATTCAGCCTCTGAACCCAGCCACACATCCCCGTAGTTGACCACCCTCTCAGAGCCTCAGACCCCAATGAGGGTGGTGAACAGGCCTGACTGTGGAGACTCACCCACTCTGTGCTGGTCCCTCTTCTGTGCAGTCCTTTCACCACCCCACCCTTCTCATTCCTTCATCCCCCAGGTCTCCCAAAGCCAGCAGTCCTCACGCATGAGCGGGTACTACAGATGAGCAAAATGCTATCCTTCTGTGGGGCAACAGCTGATGACGTGGTCTACGTGTTCCTGCCTCTGTACCACACAATGGGCCTTGTCCTTGGGTTCCTCGGCTGCTTGGAGCTCGGTAAGCCCTTCTCTGATAAACCCTCCAATCCATGGGACCACTAGAGTGGGTGTCAGGGTGGGGCTGTCAAGGTGACAAGACCCCAGAGTTACCAGCACCCTAGGTTCTCACTTTTTTGTTTGTTTTGGCGACTGGCCAGAATGGGGGATCTGAACTCTTGGCTTTAGTGTTATAACACTGTGCTCTAACCAAATGAGCTAACTACTCAGCCCCTGGGTTCTCAATTTTGAGAAGGGACATGCAGCAGCAAGTCCCAGGGCCACATGGACAGAGGCTTGGACACCCAGACAGTCCCTACTTGTGCTTTGGTGGGGAGGTGGCAAGAGCTGATATAAGTGATGGTCACCTAGGGAAGCTGGGGTGCTTTGGGAGGTGATGGGGATACTGGGCCAGATCTACGACATGGCCCTGGAGGAGCAGGTGAGGAAATGCTCACCAAGCACTCTGTCGGCTCAGAATTCAGACTGGGACCTCTCCACAGTGTGTTCTTTTTGTTTTCAATTTTTATCATAAAAAGTTTGAAACACACATGGACATTTCTAAATTTTTCTACGTGAATCCTCATGTACCCACCACCTAGCTTCAGCTACCAGCAGCATTTTACTGTCCATGCTTCGTTTATCACCTTCCCCCCAATTCTGCTTCCCTTTTTACTCTGTTTTAAAAGATTTATCATGGAAAATTTCAAACATATACAAAAGTGAAAATAGTTTGATAATGTCTCATACATCCTACTCAGCTTCAACAATTGTTAACATGTTGCCAGTTTTATTTTATATTTACTGCCCTCTTTCTTTCTGGATTATTTCCCCTTGCATTTCCTGTTAGATTGGAAACTCCCTCTATAGTCATTGTTACACTCATTTTCAATTATTCTTGGCAAGAACCTTGGGGAGATGCTTTGTGCTTCATAGTGGAGGCAGTTCATGCCTGCTATCCTATCTCGGGATGCTATGTTGGATTGGAAAAACTCCCCCTCAACTTTCCTCCTGTTATTTTTTTTTTTTTCATTTTTTTTGTTTTGGCCACTGGCCAGTAAGAGTATCCAAACCCTTGACCTTGGTATTATCAGCACCATGCTTGCTCAATTGAGCTAACCGGCCAGCCCCAAAGACATTTTATGAATCAGATGTTTCATTAAGTGTTGGAAACAAAGCTGTCACTTTCAAGGACTAGGCATTCATTTTCACAGAGAGGACATTACATGTTATCTCCCCACCCCCCCAAATACAGCCTCAAAGAAGACACACTTGCGGGCCTGCCCGGTGGCGCACTGGATAGTGCGCCACTTGGGAAGCGCGGCGGCGCTCCCGTCCGAGGGTTTGGATCCCACGTACAGACTGGCTCCCGCTCACTGGCTGAGCGGGAGCAACGCCGAGGCTTGCGATCCCGTCGCCGGTCCCCGGTCCGGTACGGGGGCAACACTGAGGGTTGCGATCCGTTGCCGGACACGGAAAAAAGACAAAAGACAAAAAAAAAAAAAAGAAGACACACTTGTTACATCACCAAGCACATGATGTCCCTTTGGGTGCAGAAATGATGATATGTACCTTGCAGGTTTTGTTGAGGATTGGGGTTGGGGTACAGAGAGTGCCTTCCAGAGTCAGATGCAGATGAGGGGATCAAGAGGGAGGAATCATTTTTCTGGAGCGAATATAGTAGGTCCTACATCTTATTAATCCGTATGTCCATCCATCAGTACATCCATCCACCAACCCACCCATCCATCTATTCACTTCCTCACCCATCCATCCTTCCACCCACCCATCTAGCCAGTCATCTGTCTTTACACATATCCATCCGTCTCTCCACTCACCCATCTAGCCATGCACCACACACCCACCCATTCATGCCACCACCCATTCATCCATCCATTCATTCACCCATCCAGCCTGTCCATCTACCCACTCACCTTTCCATCCATTCATATCTGCCTAGCTGGACATTCATTTATCATAATCAAGAATGACTGGGCTGACCAGTTGGCTCAGTTGGTTAGAGTACAGCCTTGTTACACCAAGGTCAAGTGTTCAGATCCCTGTACTGGCCAGCCACACACACAAAAATAAGTAATTAATTAATATTCACAACCTTTATTTAGCAGTGCTTACTTTGTACCAGGCGCTGAGCTTTCCACACATTCTGGAGACAGCATTCTTCCTTCCTTCCTTTCTTTCTTTCTTATTTAATTAATTAATTAATTTATTTATTATTCATTCACTCATTCATTCATTATTTATTATTTATTTATTATTCATTCGTTCGTTTGTTTAATTAATTAATTTATTTATTATTCATTCATTATTCATTTATTTATTATTTATTTATTTATTATTCGTTCATTCACTCACTCACTCATTCATTCATTCATTCATTCATTTTTTGGTGAGTGGCCAGTACGGGATCTTAACCTGTGACGCTGGTGTTCTTTTTTTTTTTTTTTTTTTTT